TAATGCCATCCGTATTCTACAATCGGTCAGCGGCTGCAGGTGTGGCTCAGTACCATTGTAGAGTACGATGGCAGCGCATGGATATGAGTCACTACATGCTACCTAGATGTAGTCCAAAGCCCGCAGGGACGCGCGAGGGGTTGAGTGTTGCAGCTGAAACCCGATTGCAAAGAGACTACTGGCATGCTCTCGTTTTGGGCGCTGTCCTGCTAGAGAGAAGTTGGGGGTCAAAGGACGGGGCCCTCTCAGTGAGGTTCAGTGCTAACGCGCTATGTGCAAAAGAAACGGCTCTGTGACGCAATTCTGTCCGACATGCTGTTGCAGAGACAGGGTTTTCACGGCGCTGGACAGCTTGTGCACAGTCTGCAAGCTCGCTGCTAGCAGTTGTTTGTGTTGGAGTGGAGAGTGTCTGTGCGTATGCTATGTGGTGCATCCTGGAGCAAGAGCTATTTATTGCTTCTGATTGCTTTCCGCCGGCAGGAAGGACCAAGAGAGGCGCCACTGCCTCCTCCAGCTGCAGCTGCCGTCGAGGCCGAGCCAAGTTCAGCAGGGTTTTAGACATAGTCAAACTGTGATGCTGTCCTACAGCCCCACAACCAGGTGCAGCGCTTGTCAAAGGAAATTGCGAGCACGAAGCAATCATTGAAGCGATTGCGTCGTGCAGTTTCCAACCTGTTTTTGACAGCTCGGCAGATTACAATTGTCTTGGCCGTTTACATGCTGTCGGAGTATGACATCGGGGTAGCTCGGGCTTATGTTCGTTTCGTCCACTGTCAAAAGCGGACCAATGCTGATGCACACACTGAATACACTGATGCCACACTGGATGCCCGCATTGAAAACTGGTATCTCGAAGCCGCTCTAGACAAACTGGTGAAGCTTCAAGACCCTGGTCCAGTACGTCGGGAAGCTGTTCGGTTTTTGGCACAAAATCAGACAGTTTTTTGGGTTTCCAGGCAAAACGAGCGCGGCGTGGCGCCTACATCCGCTGCTACACCATCGGTGTTTGTGCAAACCTGCCATAAATATGGAGTGCTGGAGCAGGCTTTGGTTAGATCAATCCACAACAACACGATCTCACACCGACATGGTCGCCACATGCGCAAATGGGCAAAACGATATCGTGAAAGGTTCCATCTGCGATTTGGTGTATTGAAGAGCGGACCAGTTCCAGGACCAGTTGAGGAGACTCGACGTAAGGCGGTTCGGCGGCATTTTGGTCCGTTTTTGCGTTCCCTAAACTGGTACCAAAAAAAGTGCCCAAAATGGGAACGTTAGTGGGAACGTAGATAAAACCCATCCTCCCAAGGTTCCCCTTTTGAGACCCCAAGGTTGTGAAGATTTTGCAGTGGGTTTCGTGGCTTCGAAGCAGAGTTCCGGCAGGCAAACAGGCCGTCTTTATCAATGTGGACGCGCGAAGCGATACGACGTGCAGCTGACGCTGGGGCCAGACCACGGATCTGCGAACTTTCCAATGACCTTGTTTTTTTTGTTGGCTTGACTGGGCCTCGTCGGCTGTAGCACTCGGTCCCTACAAACAAGCGAAGCTAAGACAACAAAGCGAAGCTCTACAAAAACTCGTGCAGGTGTCCGCAGTCACCGTAAAGCGAAGCTCTGCAAAGGGTGCGGCGCACAGGCTTTGCCGGTGTTAGCCGTTCAGCACCAAACTACGGAGCCTCAGCGACCGGTCAGGAGCAACAAAGAGCCGTCGCTCAGAGCTGCCCAAAACAACAGGTGGAGCCAAGTCCAGGCTCCGGTTGCCGTTCTAGTCTCGCCAGACAACGGACAACCCCTGTGTCTTGTTCCGTCACGATCGTGCACACCAAATCCAAAAGTCCATGGCCCACTGCAGTGTGAGTGGCTTCCGGAGGAGGAGTGCGAAGACCAGTGTCGCAGGCAAGTAACCCGCTCATGCAACCGCCATCATGTCCCTAGGCGTGTGCCAAGCACAAAGACGGCGCTCATGTAACACTGGCAACAAGTGTGGGCTGCATCCACTCGGGCAACTTGCCGGAGTCCAACCCGTGACAAGTTGTGCGACCAGTCCGCTCTGGCGCACATGGACGCCGCCGCTAGAGGGCTGGGCCTTAGGGCTGCCAGAAAGATTAGCATGGCGCACAGGCACCCACTGTGCGGGTGTTGCAAATGTGGCGCCGCAATACAATTATTTCCGGCACTGTCAGCGGGTATATCCAACATGGAGTATGCCGTGCGGACAACACACAGAGAAGAAAGCAATAGACTGGTGTGCTGCCCCGCAAAAGCAAGTCTATCAGGCTTAGTGACTATTTGCCGCCCTTGATCACCATATTCTATGGTTTCAGCCTGGCAGCCTGTGGGTCCGTACCATGGGGCAAACCATTGTCACTTCTCCGTACGGGCCGGAATATGGAAGGCAGCTGCGAACACCTAACAGGGCAGTTTTTGACCGGATTACGATCCTTCGAAATGTTAATTCTTGGGGGTCCCGCATCGTGGTCCGCCAGCAAAATGTGCTTTCTACGGAACCAACCAAAAGTCCAGAAACCAACCAAGTCTCTGACCTCCGAAGAAACAAAACGAAGCTCTGCCAAATGTGATCTCTTCGTCGCACGATGGTGCACGCTCCTGCTGCCAGCCCAAATTGGCATTGTAAAACTTACAGAATCAACTGACATTGACATGCTCCCTTTGTTAGGAAAGCACAAAATTGTGCAATGTAGGGCAATGTGCGCTTTTGGTCCAGTCCAGAGAACTGTTTGGCGAACATTGGTTTTGTTTTTTTGGGACGAGTTCGATCTTGTAGTTTCTGTTGTAGACAAAAATTCGCTCTTTGCGACGTTTTGGTAAATTCGAATCGGAGCCTCTTAAATTTCCTGGACCTCTTTCAACCAAGGTCGGAATTCCAACTTTGCCTTGTTTCGCCATCAAATGCAGTCTAAACGAAGTCTAGAACGTTTAAGTTTCACGTCGTGCGTCTTCGAGCTTCTTTACAGTGGTATCACAAAACGGTTTTTTCATTAATCCATTTATTGCAAGCGCAGACGCTGTGTTTTGGCAGCCAGATTAGACGTAAAGAAATGTCTTGCTTTCTTTTCTTGCAAGAGTCACTGTCTTGTTCTGCTGCAATCCAACTTATATTTGGCGATGCTTCATTGCGCCACAGCAGAAGACGCAGAACAGAACGGTTCTGAGCATTTTACAGTGCGTGGCGCGCATTTATAACGTGCTCTTGGCGCGTTTGATCATTTTCGCTGGCATTTGCTGGGCCAAACCCGAAACTGTGACGCGCTTCGTGCGTTTACAAAAAGAGTCTTCTCTGGCGCACGCAGCACGTTGCGATATTTCCCTTCCAAAAGCCAGCCAAATCGACCATTCCGCGCCCCAAGCACGTTATGATTTGCCGTGCTGCTGTAAACGCCAGATTTCTCCAAGAAAGTGCTGCCAAAGTTGCATGATTCCACAACTGCAACAACCTGAATATTGCTGCCCTGTGGTTGTAGATCCATTGCGTTGCTGTCATGAAAAACCTCCTGCAGGGCCGCTGCATAAGATGTTTTGTTTTGAAGAACTGATCCGGTGCTTCGTGCAAGTGCTGTGGTGCCTTTAAAGCACAAATGACTAAAACACTTGCTGTCTTGTTGCTTATAACACACGAATCTCCTCCGTTCCAAGCAATGTTGCTGATCGCGTCCGGGCTGGATCCAAATCCGGCAACATTGTTTGCAAGGGGAAAGAGGAGCATGGTTGCTGGGTCACTGACTCCAAGTGCATTCGACGAAGCCCGCCCAAGCAAAAAAAAGTGATGTTTGCAATAACAAGATGATGCCACTAATAACGTTGCTGTTCACAAACAACAAGAGTGAAGCAGCTAGCAAAGATGTTCAAACAAGAACATGATTGGCAGAAGATCGATTTTGTTTGAGCTGTGTGACCAAGTGACAATAACAATATCCTTCGCCGCCCAGTTCCGGAATGGACAACAGCAAAGTTGGCAGCTTCATCACGAGCTTTCTTGAAAGTTTGTTGCTTCTCGGACATGTCTAAAAACTAACACTGTTGCTGCAGGTTTCATGTCTTATGTGTCCACTGTCGGACAGAGGCAACTGTTCAGTTGTTGTGTTGCCGTGCAGCTAAACCTTTCGGTGATTATTGATTGCGTGCTGCTAGGTGCGTCCCATTCTGGACCATGTCCCCACAATTTTTCGGCATGAAAGCAAAGTAAGCTTGAGACCGGCATATATGATGCGCACTTCTGTCAAATATCATCAGGCCCCAGCCGGCTTTGGATCCTTAGTCTTCAGCCCCTGAATCTTGAAAGTAGGTCTTGGAGATTGACTGTTCGGCGATGTTTGGTTTGGGTTCACATTTGTAGATTTTCACATGTTAACAAAAGTTTTGGCCCTTCACTTTCTGTGAACCAAATTGGGTATTTGTTGGCTCGTAACATGTTGGCACAGCAACGTCAAAGCGCCGACTGAAGGTCAGTTGGGGAGCTTGTGCTGCAAGTTTGTCATGTTCTTTGCTATCTTTACAACACATAGCTGCCTGCCCTTATTGAGTGAATTGGTGCAAAGCAGACTTCGACAATTCATGTCATGTGACTTGCTCATAGGTGTCAGATGTCATTTTTCCCATTCTTGCAGCTGGCTGGGCATTCTTTGTTTTTTCTTTCGATCCAGTGAAGCAAACAATTGAGCTGTCTGCAAGCGATGAGAAATAGATACCGTGAGAGTGTGCGCATGAAAACTGATTTACCATATCATGCTGCCAAGCACACTGCACATGGAGAGGTGTGGCTTATGATGTGATCTGCAGCTGTTGTGGTTGTGCTTGGCAACCACATTGTATGAAACGAAAGGCCGGTATGGTTTGTACAGATGCAAAACGTTCGTTCAGTTCCGAATGTTGGAACCAAAGCCACCGACCTGTAAACAATAAACCATGGGCCGTCATTCGATTGAGCTTGCGTGTGGGCATGCGAAACCACCACATTGGTAACCTACCGTGGCAGCTTTGCAATGGCGCTACTGGCTGATGCAGCCGGGTTGCCAAATCCTCGTATCGAACCTGGGAAAAGGCCTGCGGTTGGAGGTCGCAATAGTCTAGTTTCATGCCTGGTTTCGTCTTCATACCCTCGGCCTTGGCGAAACCCAGTCTGTATCAAAGTGTGCAGTCGTTCTTTGGCCTGTAACATCGGCATCCATCGTACAATGTAGAGGGGGGAGCGTCGCATTGAAAGCACTGTTTGACAGAGGAGCTGGTGGGGAACCCAGATTTCTGACATTACGGTCAACGACGCTTGGTCGCACACCCACACCCGGAGTGACCGGCTCGGAGTCGGCAAGGCAAGATAAGACAGCGCATTTTCAAGCATAACGATCAACAACACAATGTGAGAAGTAAGCTGGTTGCTGCATTATGCTCACTTTGAGGCCGGATGCAACCTGCAGGTGTGTAGACAGGTGTGCGCCAGTTTCGATCTGTCAGATGATGGCTGCAAAGCGAGGTTGAGAGCTTGGAAGACTCGGAAAGCCAACGGCTGGGGATCTTGGGGTGCTGCAGTCGGGCAACTGGCGTGCTGAGAAGTTGTTGTGTCTGCTGCACCTTCGCAGCGGCAGGGCGCGAAGATGGCAGATTTTGAGATTCTTCTTGGCGAGTTTTTGTTCACAACGTTTTGCTAATGCTAGATTTCCGTGCCGGCTGAATTGTGATAGCTCCTCAAGGGAATCAGCCAGAAACGGATTGACACAAGATGCACCTCTGCGTGCATGGTTCGAGGTCCTGCTACCGGCGATCTGCTTGGTATTTGGCAGCGAGCTGGACGCAGCAACGTATAGACTGGCTGTGATGGCTGTTGGACTTCTGTTATTGGCGATCTCTTGCTGCCTCTGCTGCTGTTCGCTGCGGCACACTTGTTGTGAGGGCATCTTCAATCTGCCTGAGCCAGCGCCGCTGATACCCCCGTTGTCCAAGACTCCTGGTGCCAAGCTTGAAATCAAGAAGTTGATGCTGGTATACAATCCCAATGCTGGCAAGCGACAGGCAAAGAGGATTCTGGAGGAGATGGTGCTGCCAGGATTGCAACAGCGTGGAATCGAGTGCACGACAGTCGCAACTGAGAGTGTGGGGCACGCTCGTCATCTGGGAATGACGCTTCCACTGGCGGACTTCCAGGCCGTTGTAACGCTCGGGGGTGATGGCACATTCCATGAGCTGGTGAATGGAATGTTCTCACGAGAAGATGGTAAACAAATCCCGGTGAGCCTCATCCCATTGGGGACTGGGAATGGCTTGTCGGCGACACTGCGACAAAACATTCGGCGACAGGGTGAGGAGGTGTCAGTCTGGTCAGAGATGGATGCGATACTGGATTGGTCTCTGGACAGGATATCTGCTGGCCATGTTGCTCGCGTCGACCTGCTTGAGGTGGAGGTCATGAACCGTCGGCTGCTGGCAGTGATGATGGTCTACCTCGGGCTCTTTGCTGAGGTGGACGTCGTCGCTGAGCCGATGCGATGGCTTGGGCCAGCACGCTTCGACATTGCTAGCATCCTCATGATTCTGAAGCAGCAGCCACAGACCCTCAGGAGCGCGCACTTGCTTTTGAATATTCTCAGTTAGTAAGGCGTTCGAGGTGTCGCAGCCATGCCTAGCTCTGGATACCTTTCAGGTGCAAACTCACCTTCGCGGACGGAACGGTGCAGGACGACAGCTTGTCGACGATCGGAGCATGCATGGGCCTGTGCCAGCATTTCTCAGACAAGCTCCGGTCCGTTCCACAGGCAGCCCGGTCAACAAACTTGATTGACCAACATCACTTCCTGGTCATTGTTTCTGTTTTCGCGCAAGTGTTGGTGTGATTTGTTCGGAGCAGAGTGGGTCCTCCTGGCAGAAATTGCATCACAAGATCAGATGGTCGAGCAGGGCGAGAAGCCCTCAACTTTTGGATTCATGTGTTGAACAGGCGCAGCTCGATGATGGTCTGGCGGAGTTTTCTGTGACTGGTCTTGAATTCTCCACTGAAGGGCTGCGAGCACAGTCGCTGTGGAGCCTTGTTTTGTGCAACGGACAAGACGTCTCCGTTCACAGTTCAGGTGCTCTCTTCGGGGGCTACGGTCGACCAGACATTCGCAGGTTTTTTGAAGCTGCCGAACGGTGCGCACACCGGTGACAAGGAGATGGATGGAGATGTTGTGTGTGATATATATATATATATATATATATATATATATAAAGAACACAGAGAGAGAGAGAGAGAGAGAGAGAGAGAGAGAGAGAGAGAGATCGCAGTTGATACCTGTTACGACGGGGGACACAGTTACTGTAATTAAACTTGCATGTGTCAAACAAAACAGTTGAGGAACCCTGATAATTTAGAGACCAATACACTTCACCTGCGTATCAGGGGGACTCACTGTCTTGTCACGCCCTTCCACAAAGCCCCCTAACATATGGGGGGCCCATGTGGCCGAAGGGCCTAGCACGCCCTTCAAGCCCAGCGGAAGAAGAAGAGAGAGAGAGAGAGAGAGTGTGTGTGTGTGTGTGTTTGTGTGCGATTCCCGTGATCTGCTGAAGTACAGCCGAGCCTGCCGGCGAAAATTTCCAGTGGGAAAACAACCGGACACCCCGCGAAGAGCGGGTGTGCGCTCGCGCACGTGGGGATCGGCCTGGATGCTGCCGTGATCCCCAAGCCCGGAAGAGAGAGAGAGAGGCTGAGATGAGTGCTTCCGCTCCTGGCCCCTAGTAGCAAAGCAAAGCTGAGATGAAGAGCGAGAGCTAGAGAGAGACAGAGAGAGCTCCCATCGTGCGGGGGAGAGGGTCGCATTTCTCCCTGGCTGAGTGCAAGCAAAAGCTCCGGCATTGGTGAAAGACAACAAGAGGCATAGAAAGGTAAAGGATATGGTTGTCACCCAATTGTCGAGCGGGGGGACTTGCGAAGTGTTCATGTCTTGGCACTGTATTTTACGTGTCAATGACTCCCTCAGCAACCATATTGAATTGTGGTGGATGTGCTACTGATGCAAAAAGCCGGAATGGGGGGTCTTGCCGAAGGCGTTTCTTTCTTCGCAGAGTGACCTCTGGAATCACGGTTTCCTCCAGAAGCTAGATCATGTCCTTGAACCGGATGTCAGGATGTCTGGGACTCCAAGCAGGTCACCAGTGCCGAAATCATCTTTGACGGGCCCGGCATTTTCAATGTCGATGGTGAGGCCGTGGTGCTACAGGAAAACAACAGCATCTCCAATCCTCTTTCGCTCCACAGCTAACCTCCCCTTTTGTGCTGTTGAGAACCGGGCCCCTACCTGGAGACCTCAAAGCAGCAAAAAGAAGTAAGCCAGAGGTTCTGGAGCATGATGGCCTGCTTCGCATCCGCGTTCTGCCTGCAGCGCTTCAACTGCTCGTGCCGCGTGCGTGGTTGACAATAGCTGGGCAGTTTCGGAACCGGACATTTGCGGGCATGCTGCTCCAGAGGCTCAGAGGCTTCGGAGTGACGTCTTCCCTGCCAGACTTCAACATCTCTTGCCAGCTCTGCTGTTGAATGAAGTTCGGATCTAAAGAATATTGCCCTTGGACTTGGACACTGCAAAAGAAGCCAACAGCCACAAGGCGCACGTCCCCCTGATTTGGCCAGGTCGGTAAGGACGAAGCCTCCTCTGCCGGCCCAGCCGAGGAGGCTCTAGAAACTTCCACGGTTCAGGCTTTACTTTGCATCTAGGGGTTCAGGAGTTCAGCGTTTAGCGATTTAGGGTTTAGGAAGTTTAGGGGTTGTTGGGTTTAGGGAAGGCGGCAATCTCTGCAGGCTGTTCTACCCACGTGGAGCGCTGATCCGGCACGCTGGCGGATGCTGCTTCTCTTCATGTTCGGGTGTATGGCGAACCAGGCGGGGTCCGACTCTGCGTTCGCAGAGTTAGTCAAGTTGCTGCACTGAGCCAGGCCATGTGGATTGGCTTTGCCCCAATCGAAGCTGATGTCATGAAGGACTATGGAGTATCTTCAACATATGTGAACTTCCTATCTCTGGTCTTCATGATTGTCGCTCGTGCTGCAGACTGAGGTCCTGCAGTTCGTTTCGTAAGTGGCTAAGGGCTACTGTAGCGCAAGAGTTGCGAAGGTCTTTCCGAGTTATCATTTTGGCCTCGTCGCTGAGGTGTACTTGCCGGCCAACTTCCCAGCCTCATACGCTATGGATGTCTTGGGCTGCCGATGGGCCCTGCTGGTGGGTGGCTGCCTGCAGACGTTTGGAGCAGTCCTGAGGCTGAGAAGTGCGGGGGGGGGGGTGGGTGCCCGTGATGATGCTCATGGGCACAATGGGGGCCTTTTCAGGTGCCTGCCTGCTGATCCCGTCACCGCCCGGTATCTGGCGTCTTGGATGAGCTGAGTTGTATCATCCAGAGTGATATTGTGGGATTTCGTGTCAGCAAACACGAATGTCGATCAAATGAACAACAGCAGTAACACGTCCTGTGGGGTGCAGGCGTCGGGTTTCCAGGAACAAGCGATGACATCCAGGCTATCGGATTAGGAGAGACTGCGCACGTGCCGTGTGCAGAAGTGTAGTCTGGAAGGGGAGATCTGTGAAGGATAACAGCTACTGGACGGGCCGATGACCAGACTCCTTAGCAGAACGAGTTAGTGTTCATGAGACGCCTGGTCGGACATCCCATCATGCCATAGAAAGACAGGTGATGGCTGGACAAGCACTGGCTGCTGTGGGACAGCCGTTCTTCACTGACATGCCGCCAAAGTCATCCTGGCTCCCATTGAAACATGACATTCAAGCTGCTTGACTTTGAGCTTGTGGGTTGAGCCCCTGGTGCCAGGATCGCGGCAGATTGGTTCCCTGCGTACCAGCGAGTGCTGGCAGATACGCTGGCTTCGACGCTTGGCGTCGTGTCGTCGAGTCGTAGGTCTGTTTGCAGAAGCAGAGCATCAAGTTGTTCATTTGTGTCCCCTGTGAGAGATCGATGGCATGGCCAAGAGCCGTTCCTGATGTGCCAGCCGACTTGCTTGACTCGGTCAGTCTTTCCTGTCCTGGAGGCTATCAATTTCTGTTGGTGCCGCCGTTGGATTCATACTGCCCGCGACGCTGGGCCTTCGTCAGATGCTTTACCTCCACCTCGCCTGGTCGGCATTGTGCCTTGTCCGGACTCCAGGGGCCAAGTGAAGCTGGAACTCATCTGGTTCTTGGCAGAATCTCCGAGGTCCCTTGGCCTCACCTTCCTCTTCTTTCGAGCGGCACCGGCCACGCCGCCGAGCCCCAGGAAGCACCACGAGGCAGGGAGAGGAGCATTTTTGTACTGGAGAGAGGTTTCGCAGGTGTTGTTTCGGTGCCTTTGGGCCTTCTGGGTGACTGTCATGGCTCCGGATAACCGATCTTCACGGCGGAACCCTCATGTTTGGCTTTGTAGGGAAGCACTCGCCAGGGCAAATCCTTCGGCCTGGAACTTGCTGCGGCACTATCCAACGGCAACTTGCAGCCTGGAGAAGTTTAAAGGAGTATATTACCAGTGGGGCCAGTAAATACCAGCAGTAGTAGTAGTAGTAGTAGTAGTAGTAGTAGTAGTAGTAGTAGTAGTAATAGTGGTAGGTGGGTGGGTGGGTGGGTGGGTGGGGTAAGTAGGTAGGTAGGTAGGTAGGTAGGAGGGGAGGGGAGGGGAGGGAGGGGAGGGGAGGGGAGGGGAGGGGAGGGGTGGTAGGTAGGTAGGTAGGTAGGTAGGAGGAGTAGTAGTAGTAGTAGCAGAAGAAATAGTAGTAGAAGTAGAAGTAGAATGAGTAGCAGAGGTAGTAGAAGGGATAGTAGAAGTAGCAGATGCAATACTCGTGTTGCCAGTGGTACCAGTGGTACTAGTGGTCAGTGGTTCCAGTGGTAGTACCAGTGGTGTCGTACTGTTGGTTCTAGTGGTAGTACTGTAGTATACTGGTAGTAAGCTGTGGTGCTCTAGACTCTGGATTCTGCCAGGTGGTGCCTGATCTTGTCCTTCAGCTGCAGTCTGGGATCTTTCAACACCCTGAGCACCCTCGCTGCACAGCTCGTGGGCCCGTTTGGGTACAGCGCCGATGATGCCTCCATCTTCGGTGTGGCTTGCACGATCTGTGGTGTCCTCGGGGCTCTTGTTATGTCTGTCATCGTAGGTTTGACTGGGAAGCACAAGCCTGTCCTTACGACCTGCTGTGTGCTTTGCGTGCTCTTCGCGCTCCTTGCTGCTCTGACGGTGATCTACGTGGGCGATGGACCCGGGGGGCTGGAGCTTCTAGCCTTGGCCTTCGGAGGCCTTGGCTTCTCTGCAATGCCCTTGATGCCAATCTCCTTCGAGGCGGCCATCATGGTAAGCCAGGCTGGTGAGGGCACGCTGGCCGGCCTCTGCATGTCCGGCGGCCAGATCCTGGGCATAGGCAGGTCCTCCTCCTCTTCCTCCTCCTCCTCCGCCTCGTCCTCCGCCTCGTCCTCCGCCTCCTCCCTTTGCTACTATGTTTCAATGGTCGTCTTCATCGTCGTCGTCTTCGTCGTCCTCGTCGTTCTCGTCCTTGCTGTGGTCATCAAGATCGCCCGGCTGTAAGCTGACGACCGTACACCTGCACCCCCCATAACCCTCAAAACGGCGCATAGCACAGACGGCCGTAGATGCTGTAGCCCCTGGAAGGTCAAACTTTGATCCTCGGACAGCTCCTCCAGAGTGGCCACCCGAAGATAGCATGGATCATCTCGGGTGGGTGGCTTGGCACTCCGATGCCAAAGGCTTCAAAGTAGAAGATCTTGATGACACGAAGTGCGGGCAAGAGTTATCTGAGTTTTTTCCACATGACCGAGGTTGTTTTGCGTGGCCTTGCTCGCTGTGAGTGTCCTTGATGAAATTTGAAAGCTTTGGGTTGTACGGAGACCGTTCATTTTGTGGCACACGGTACATGAAGCTTCCCTAACAGGTGCATGACATCTCTTCACACCGTGGTTCTACCCAGAAGATGTCACCGTGTTTTGTATGCTTCAGCTCAGGTTTGTTCGCCCCGAAAAGCAACTCCTTCCACTTGCCTCTTCCGGAAGAGTCCGATGTTGAAGAGTCTCGGACTTCCTGCTCCTCGTGAGTGCTTGGGTTTGGCTCCCGGGACCATCTCTGCTTCCGAGCCCCTTGCCACTGAGCTGCGCTGCTCTAGGCAGAAGCTCTTTTCTTTTAAACCCCCTGGTGTCTCCATGTTCTGGAATCGTTGACGAGTTGTATAGAAGAATTCTCGAATGTGGAAGCATCACTTGTTTGCCCGTTCAGTATGGGCGGGCGGTGATCCGTCCTCCATGTGCTACTGCTGGAGGGAAAGGTGTTGCATACCGAGGATCCGGAGCGGACATATAGAGTTTCATAAGCATGCGTCTGCGCTTTGTAGAGGATATGGTCCATGCTGGGCCTTTGCACCTAGCCTTGCCAACGCCATTTGCAGGCTTTCAGCCATGGCAATGTCTAAGCGTCATACATCCGGCATCTGCATTGCGACATCCTGCCACAGTTCTCGGATAGCTTGGACCGTGCACCCTCATAGCCAAAGCTCTTAAAGCACCTACTTCTCGGCACTTCCACAAGAGCCCTGCAAGCAAAGCAGATACTGTAGTGCTTCTGTAGCCTCGTGCATGCTCCGGCCTCGTTTCCGGGAATGCCGCGACTGGTCTGCAGTGATATGTCTGATACGGAGCCATCCGCAGATGGATCCGAGAGAAGAGCAATGCTGTGTTTGTGCACCTGGCAAGGCCGGATGCGAGACGTGCGGCACTCGGTGCATGGCTTTTGCGCGATGTCGTGGACCAGAGGCAAACTCATGCTTCGCCCGTGCAGGGGATGGTGGTGGTGGCCGTGCCTTGACTCAGGCCCGGCCTTGTCTTTGATGTCTGAAGCAGATTTCGCACGCTTTCGCGAAACGATAACTCACACAGGTTTGCCGCCAAGGTGTTACGGCAGGTCGTTCTTCCAGTGCGTGAAGCTACATCTTGTTTGTCGCACATCCAGAAAGTGGCGGGCTTGATACGGGCAACTCTGCGACACAGATCTCCGTAACCGTATGCAGATACTACAGCATTCTTCGCATGACATCCCAGTGGCGAGAGTCAACGAAAGCGCCAGCACACGGCAACAGCACAGTCGCCGTGCTGTACGCTCCTGCACGCTCATCCGATGCTGACTTGAGCCGAGTCACACGAAGTCGCCACGGGGTCCGTAGAGCTCCGTGTGGTGTCTCAGTGTCCTTGCTCGTTCTGCCAGAAATCGTTGTCGCAAGATGCAGCACTAAGTGGAAGACAGGAAATGGTCTTCATGCGGACGAAGTGCAATCGCATGGTCCAGTGCCCAGTTAGCACGCATGTCGGAGAGTGTGTTGGAATCTCGTGCTTTGGTTTGTAGGGTCTGCAGTTTGTTTGAGACAGCGACAAAGCACATGCCACAGACCTCTTTCACGAGCCTGAGCCTTGAAGCCTTCTAACTTTCCCAGTAACCCCGAGAGATTTCCCCGAAGGATTCTACACTTCCAGAAGCCGAAACCCGAGGACCTCATCAAGAATTTGAACCTGTGGGGCAACGACCTGCAGGAGATGCGCACTCGGGGTTGCGAGCCCCTTTCTGAAGCGCCCGAGCATTGGCGGTTTCTCGGGGGTCCAGCCGGGGCGTGAGGGCTTCAGATTTAGGGTTTAGGGCCTTTTTTTGGTTCAGGGTTCAGCTAGGCACAACCCCTGACGTGTCAGGACATCTCTGTCGGAGGCTCAACAGACATCCGTCCCGTCCGATGGCACATCGGAGAAGGGATGCTTCGTGACCTGCGTGGCCACTGCAAGGGATTTTTTGTTCTGACCTTGCCAAGGTTATCCAGTCCATGCCAAACCTGGAGGCCCATGGATTTGCAGCTTCCAAAATTCCGAACCTCCTTTCTTGGCTCTTGGCAGGTCCTGAGCCTCAGCGTGAACCAGGTGAATACCCTCGTGGATCTTCAGCCGCTCGGAGCGATTCGCCGGCTCATGTCTGAAGCAAGAAGTGGCGGGCTTGCAGAGCTCAATGTGCGACCGACCATTCGGTATTCTAGGAATAACAAGCATCCTCAAGCTGTCATGTAAGAAGCCGGCTCCTCCAGAGCAGTCTGCTGTCGTGCTCTACTCCCAGGCATTGCCCGAAGCTCTCGGAGCCATGGGCTCGGCGCTGCAGGGGGGACGGGAAATCTGGGCTAGGGAGTTTTCAACAAAGCTTGGGTGCCATGCCAAGTCAATCTGAGCCTCGATTTTTCTGGTCGCGCTGGGCAGGCGGACGAGGAAGGGACAGGGACAGGGGTCTATTGACAGAAGGCAACGACGGGGTTCAAGCAAAAGTGTGAACGCCTTCCCCGCTTGCGCGAGGCAGCGGATAGCAGCATCGCACATGCATCACAATCATGTGCAGCCTGAGGCTGTATTTGAGGAAGAACGAGATCATGGATCTGCCTCTATCTGAGGGAGCAGAGGGTTTCCTGTCAGTACGCGGAACCGAGCAGGACCTGCCAAAGCGCAAGACGTGTGCAAACTTCCCTGCAAGGTAAGGTAGTGTAACGTCTTCGGCACATTGGTGCTGCATGCAGCCATAGTTTGTCCGATGCTCTAAACAGGGGAAGGTTGAGAAGATGCCAAGGTCAGAGATTCTGTACCTCAGGCATCTGAGGCGCATGAAGGCACCACGGGACTGAACTTCAATGTGTGCCGGTGACATAGACAAGGGGATGTGACGGTGGCTATGTTCTTTGTCGCACAGGTCCTCTGGCTGGCGGACAACCCTTGCGCGGATCTGCCGTGCTTTCCTCAGCCTCAGCTGACTTCGCCGGTCTCCTTGCTTGCTGAACACCCTCATACAGGTATTACAGGCAATACATCTTGCATCACCTTCCGAACCTCACAAAGATTGACTCCGAGGAGCAAGTCCTTCTTGGTACGTTCTCAATCTTTCCAACCACCAATGCTTGCAAGATTTCTTCAGAGGATTTGAAACTTGAGCCCCCAGTGTTCGCTGCTCGCGTGCAGCAGATCTCCAGGACGTCACCGAGGAGGAGCGGCGAGATGCACAGATGGTCCGATGCCCTCAGCCCCCACTTTTTGCTGCAATTTGAGGCTTCACTTATCGTTTAGAATTAGGGTTTAGGGATTGAGGACTTGAGGTTCAGATGGTTACTTGTAGTGTGGAAGGCATGGTGCATTTTGGGTCAGAGCAGAGTCCCTGCGAACAGTCTGCATTGTGGTGCTTGTGGCAGATCGACTTTGGTGGGGTAGAGACCAACCCAGTGGATCGAGCTCATGCTGGAGGCAGCCGGGACGGGATTTGGTGCTCAGCATCTTGGAATGACGCTTTAGCCTATTTGTGCCGCTCAGGTGAGTTCCCATACCAGGAAGAGGCTGAAGCGTTGCAAGATGCAGGCGAGCACCCGCAACGGAGGCCGCAGCTGCAAGTTTGGAGTGGCATTGAGCAGCACTGAAGGCTTTCGCCACAATCGTTCCGAAAGCGAGGATTCCTACGACCGGAACTTACCAAAGTCCATCCCTGCACCTGAAACCGTTTGCACATTCCGCCCATTTTATCGACTAGTCGAGCTCGTTCAAGCGCTTTCAGGACGACGCGCCCAGGCCTCAAGAGGCCGGGAGCGTGATGGCCTCGCATTCGCGGTCTGGGGGAGTCTTGCCCTGGAACAGGCTCTGCGACGTCCCCAGGAGGACCAGCAGACCAGCTGGCCTTGCAGGGCTTGTCAGTCTGGAGTCTCGAGTTTCATAGTACTACCATTGTCTTTGCGTGGACTGCAGGGTTAACATGATGATTCTGTTGAAAACCTCCGTCGACATGGTTCCGATTCTTGCGGTTGTCATGCGAGTCATACCGACTTAGGATTGAAGCTTTCTCTCCCTTGCCTCTCTCTGTATCTCTCTGTCTTTGCTGTCTTTCTCTTGCTCTTCGTCTTCCTCTTCTGCTCACTCTTCCTCTCTCTCTCTTTGCTTGCTATCTATTTTTTTTTCTCTCTCTCTCTCTCTCTCTCTCCCTCTCGCTCTCTCTCTCTCTCTCGCTCTCTCTTGCTTTGGTTTATATCTTTCTCTCTTATTGCACCAAGATTCACGCACAGGAGTCCCCCTCTCGACGCCCGCCACTGGCCATGGAACCAAGGTCCGGTTCCGAGTTTGCTGGAAGTTTTAGGGTTTAGGGTTTAAGGTTTAGGGTTTGTGCTGGTTCTATGGCATTGAGACGATGCGTTTGAAGTGCATTTTCATTGTTGAAGATGCTTGTGTCGATTTGACCCGCCGGAAGTGTTCTCTGTCTGGACAACCAGGCGCTCCGTGGTGCATGAGCGTGCGCTTCCACCCCGAGAGAGTGCAATCGCTGGAAGCTTGGATTTGGAACCTGCTTTGGATAGGAATGGGTCATCGATGTTCTTTCGTTATATCGGCTCCTGCCCTTTTGCAGCCTCGCTTGCAACAACAGTGATGTCATGTTCGCTCGAGTGGAGCCGTAGTCGACGCCCGTGCTGGACGACTCCGAGCACAATGGCATGATTCCCGCGGCAGGCAGGGAAAGCATGGATCCCTGGCATTCGAAAAGCCTGGTGAATGAATAATTGTTCAGCATCTGTTGAACATGCTGTTGGTGCTCTTCTCTCTCGTTCACCCGAGAACCAGCAGGCTGGTGGTGAAGCATGTGCACTGGGATTTCTGCGCCATCCCAACTTGTCTGTTTTGATTCGCATGAAGTCCCTTCGAGGGGCGGAGGCCTGTAGCTGTAGGCGCCAGCACAACTCGCTGTGAAGTCGAACTCCGAGTTAGGGGTGTTTGGGATCCCTAACACACACATGCAAACATACGCAGTCTTTGCCCTGCCAACAGCTTTTCACTAAAGCGAAGAGTGTAGTGAGCAGGGCAGCGGCGTCCGGCTTATCGCTCGGCGCCAGCCCGGCAGACTCTGCCGACGGAGCTCAGCTACTGAAGCGCTGTCGGATTTCGGATCTTGTGGGTTTCAGCAAGGTCGGCAGTGTTCTTTGTGATGTTGTCCCAGTGCCCCATATTCACGGGCTATGTTGCGCAGGAGGACTTGATAGAGCAGCGTCGCCTGCCACCACAGAGGCTGATGCATCCGAGTGGGCTTATGTCAGCTACAAAAATACTGAAGCCAAGAAGATGCCATACAAGTAACGTGGACCGCAAAGCAACGCGAAACGACGACGCCTTTTTTGAAGAGGTCGAATTCCTCCAGCTGTGCGAACCCATTGCTACTAGGGCCATAGACCATGTCGGCATCCTCGCTTTTCTCAAGCACGCCCGTTAAAGCTGAAAGGCAGCGTTTTGTTTTATCAGGGAAACCGAAGCACTCGAAACTGGCTTCGCGGCGAGCATGCACTCTTCCGGGCTCTGCCAACCAAAGCGAAATCGTGCACTGAAGTGGGCTTCGGGAGTGTGTTGGGTCTTGGCCTTGGTAATTTCCCGCTTCCGCTTGCAGCGGGCCCTAGAATAGCTCCGACTTTTCTGTTTGAAGTGGTATGCAGGGGTCTATATGCATGCGCATTTGCCAGGAAGAACTCGCCACAGGATCTTGGCTCTGCAGCAAGGACTGGACTGCAAAACGCAGGGGTCCGGCGGCGATTGATGTGTCTCCGACGTGTTCTGACAGGATGGGGCCAGGCCTTCCAGAGTCGCCCCTTCGTGGCGCAGGCGCATAGCATAGCGACTTGCGAAGGTTGCAGCCGGCAGCCCGTGTTCTTTAAGCGCGGACAGGCCAAGAGCGTGCGGGCTTCCAAGCTCGACGAGACAGCGAGGTGTGGAGTGTGCATGCCACGCAGCTTCAAAGGTTTGTTTTGGGAGTCTTTGGAAGCGGGTTTGGGTTTTTGCCGCGGAGGCGTAAATGCGGAAGCCGTCCTCCACGTTGCAGCTTTTGGGATCTCGAACGCAGAGATAGGACTCCCCAAGCCTGCATCCCTGTTCCGAAGCAGATCGGGTCACCATTTGCCGACCCTGGTCGAGGAGCTCGGCCGCCTATCGAAGGCAGTGTAGCAATGCAGTTTCAGGTTGTGGTTTCGGTCTAGCTTCCCGGTGCGGCTAGGCTAGATCCATCGGTATGAGCACCTGAGTATCGGTGTGGCCTGAAGCAGTGCAATAAGAGATCTCAGAAAAAGGCTTGACCTCAGCGCACTGGCCCGAGCAGCAACCGGTCTTCGATGCAATAAAGAAAGAAGGCCGCCTTGTACGGTCGAAGTGGAGATCCGGATCTGAGCACGGGGCAACGGATGGGGTCCTCGCGAGCTCCAGGGATGGGGCCGAATTTTCTTGAGTTATCTCTGCGGTTTTTGATCGAATGTCGACGCGGCCCGGGGCACATTTCGGCCACATGTGTCGACAGGGGCACGTGGAGCATTAGTGAGTGCTATCAACGGTTGCAGGATAAAGCACTACCTGCTTGCATGACCCAGAAGTTCTGCTCGGAAGCTGGGAGAAATTGAAGTGCCGTCAGCTGGCAGGGCAAGGTCGACCTGCAAATGCGTGGGCTGACGCGTGCTGCGCTCAGCGGGCACCTGCACCTCTTCGCAGTCTTAATCCGGATGGTGGGGTTCTCATGCCGGGAGGTAGCGATGTTGAAAGGAGGCCCTTTTTTGTGCTCGGTCAGCAGAGCAAGGACGTGAGAACAGAAGCGCAGTTGGGCAAGACACACACCGACAGACAGATACCACGCATGGGTCGAGAAGTCGACCGATAGATTCTGCGCAGTCTGCGCACTCAACGGTGCTGCCTGTCTTCGTTCAATCGGGGGGCGAAGCTTGAAACTGCTGACTGCAGTGTGATGTTGTGTGATGTCGATTCTCGAGTCCACAGCAACTGCTTCGGGTTTTTGGGCACTGAACAACCCTGACACAATCCCTGGATCGAAGCACCCTTCATCTCCGAGTCCGCCGGCCGCACTTCCACACCGTGAGGAGGCGCGGCAAAAACTCTTCAAGCACTCGACATGCACAGGATGACATGACTTGGAGCTTAGAAGAACCAAGCTCTTGAGACCAGATCATCGCTTTTGCGTTGCTTCAGAGCTGCTTGAATCCACCCGACATCGCAAACAAACTCGTCTCGCAGTTCTTGATCCTGAAGCTTGTTCTGCCTGACTTGCTGTGGCCTGTCCTCCAGCCACGTTGCGCATGGCCTCAGCTGGCAAGGGCGCACGACTCGCGAATGGTGCGAGCCGCACGGACAACATCCTTTGCGCCGTGCTGGCGCTTGTGAAGGACGACATTCAGCAATTGGCTTGCAGTCTCGGGAGTTCTCAGGAAGTGCCGGCGGTTCCTGCAAAAGCAAGCAAGCAACGATTGATCATCGTGCCCTTTCCAGTTGTAAGGAGCTGGACAGACAGGGGCTGGAGCTCGTGCGACGCCGGAGCCAGAGCTGATGGGGTCATGTAGACAGGGACGGAGTGTCATTCACGACCGTGTTGTAAATCTTGTGCGTCTCAGGTTCAGTTGAGCAGCGCATGGCAGACTTTTGAGGCAGTGTCGTATGAAGCAGTGTTCTCTCTCAAACACTCGCATTGCGGCCTGTCGCCTGTGCAGGTTTTTCTTAGGGCGCTTGAACAGCGCTGCTCTCTTTATGCCCGTAAAGTCTCATGCTCTTTTCCATGTGCAGTGCTCCCAGAGTCTTGCACCTCTCTGGATTGTTGATGGCTGTTCAATTTGCCGGGGGCGGGCAGGTCTTGCAATGATCGAGCCTCAACGAGATGCAGGAGGCCTGACGCTCTCTGCAGCGCCAGTAAGTATCAGGCTCGCGAGATCTCGCGAGACGAAGGCAGGAGGTAGTGCGGTGCTGGCCTGTGCCTGAAAGGTGTCACCAGCTCTGCTGACCCTGAGCCATTGCGCTCCAGAAGCCCTGGTGACTTCGGCCTTCGACGATCGCCTGAATGGGCACAGCTCTGAAATAAGCGTATTCAAGCAAAGCGATGACGAAGTCGGTCACCATGAACCGGATCTGCAAAAGTCTAGATCGGAATTCGGACTGCGCTACACTTTCGTGCGTCCGTCACCTTGAATGCTTCGTGGACTTGCAAGGCTGAACTTGATCCAGCACAGGTTATGGCTATGCAGCGTGACATCATGTACTCGATGGCCGTTGTGACGGGCACGCAGTGTTGAAGCGGCCCATGACAATTCCCTGCGTGAAAAGCGGCTTAGTACTGTAGGACAAACTTGTCTTGCAATCAAGCTTGGTTGTGTCGGGTGGAATGATCGCCACGGCATGCGGCTATCTGTTGGAGAATAAGTCACCGTCGTGCCTTGTAGATCAGCTGTCTGATTCAGAATCCACGGACGATCTTGGCTCGAGCACCGACTCCCCACTTCCTGACCTGTACGTGGGCCACGATGAACACGGTTGGTCTGCTGACAGCCAGCGCCTTACTGTGTCGAATGCTTATGTTTCCTGCGAAGGTTTGCAGAGGTGAAGCCAAAATCAAGTCTCTGTTCCACCTCCGTATCTGCACATGACTCCTCTTAGAAGTATCAGGGGGCCCGAGCAGATTTTGCACGCAATCGCCAGTGTTGGGAATGTCTTCCAGCTACGTAAGCTCAGCGACGTGGGTTCCAATATCTTCGAACACGAAATTCCAAGCCTGGAACTCAAGGCTCAGTGTGCATACGCGTGCAGTGATTGCTGTGCTGATGATACCGGTAATGATGGTGCTGGAGGGCGTGGCGGTAGTAGCTGGTAAAGAGTCATCGCAATGACTGGGTGAGGATGAGGCGCATGTTTGTCAAGATGCAGATGTAGCTCCAATCTTCCGGCAGAGCCTCACAGTTTCCTGTTCAATCGATTTATGCGCAAGCGTGTCGTAGCCCTATTCCCAATATCGTGAACCCAAAGCCGTAGACACCAAACCCTAATCCCCACCCGCAAGTGGTTCCTGATGTCTTAGAAAGTTGTTGCACTTCCTGATTTTTGTGCTTTTTGTTGTTGCTTCGTTCTGTGGCGCTGAGAAAGGTCATGGGGGGCAACAGCGCAGGCACACAAAGGGTGTGCAAGATCTTTGCATGAGTATAGCGCAGCTACGTGTTTTTCGTAATGCTCCTCGGAAGGTCGAGCACCCGTAGGGCTAAGCTTCTTGCTGCGTGCTTCGTTTTTGCTGCTTGCTTCTTGGTTGGGGTTCTAGGGGTTTTCAAGTTATCCGGCTTGCTGAGATGGGCTATGGTACTAGTATGGCTCGTGGTTCCCTTGAACGCCCCTTGGGCATAAGAGGTTACTGATATCCTAAAGCGTTAAACAACCCTAAGCTCTGACGCCGAGGTCCCGAAACCGCTGAACGCATCCTTCTCCGAGATTTTGGAAGCCCCAGTCACCCTAAGTTCGATTCGATAGAGTTCTTAATCCTCGAAGGGAAGGATTCAGTTAAGAGATCCTAATAGTTAGTTACCTTGAACCCTAAGCGCTAAATTTTTGAGGGCGCACATGTTTCGTGACTGTGTTCTGATGCTCATGACGGTCCGATACATGTGTGAAGTTTCATTTATGTTCATGTATCTTTTCCACTGCGCAAGCACACGTCAGTATTCCGTTTAGTGTTAGTATAAGTCTTAATATGATTATTAGTATTAGCGTTAGAAAAAGAATCCCTGATAGGGGGGGGGGGATTTGGTTGTGCGGGGGGGGGGGGAGGTACGGGGGGGAGGGGTGGGTGCGGAGGGGGTTGGTTTTTCGGTGAATGAAACCGCTTTGTTGCACTCACTCATTAGCGATCAGGGTTAACTAGAGAGGTGCTGGGGTTTTCGTCCGGGGTTTAGGACTTGGGCTGGGGGGGGCTGAGAACGTAAGAGCTCCTTAGGCGATTGGTCCAAAAAGGTATGCATGGTCAAGTTATCACCGATGTAGTTGCTCTTTAAAATCTATAAGGACCCCGAGTACCGTCCCCTCTTGAACCACCCATCCTGTCATTTCTGGCTTGTTTATGCCATAGCGGAGAAGGTCCTGCGCCCACACATAGTACTATGGGGTACCAGTACCGCCCAAAAAGAGTGAATCATCTGCAGCTTGGGGATGCCGGGTTCTGATATTGATGAACAAGTCCGGTCTGCCGGCTCCAACAAAGGGGCTGGACAGTTTGCAAGTACCACTGCACTGAAATTCAGGAGCTGGAGGGCACGTAAATTGCATAATCTATTCATAAGCTCTTATTGCGGGCCCAAATATGATTTTCAAGACTCTACGTTAATATCTTGGGCATCTAGAAGAACTGTTTCTGAGTGGCTTGATTTCCCCTTCATCATCTTTCAGACCCAAACCATGCATCGCTACACTTGCTGTGCACATTGTGTGTCTTCGTCAATCGAGGGGGGGAGCTTGGCAAGTTTTCCAACGGTTGTTGTGGCTCTTGCTCCTGGGGGCCTATTCAGTAGCAGCAAAGCTGTCCATCTGGCACATGAAAACCTTTTAAGCAAAGTTCCCGAAACAATAGGTCGATCCCTCGCAGCCGCAAGATCCTCTTGGGTTTCGACTCGTGCGTGCGTCAGGGTAGACGGGCAGCTCTAGCATGCAAATCCTTCGTGCACTTACTTAACGCTACCTTTCTATACCTGAAAGCCTGCACACTCCGAAACCCTGCAGCTCCTAAACCCTTAAGCCCCAAACGTGAAAATCACACATTGCACCCGCCCGAAAGGTGTGCCGCGCTGCTGATCCTGAGCCCTTCAGGGCATTGGTGACATGGGCTTTTGACGTCAGGCACAGGATTGACAAACGAGTATGCAAGCAACTGAGTCGCCATGAACCGAGTCTGTGCAAGTTTAAATCGGAACTCGGATTGCACTACGCGTCCGTCACGTTTACCTACTTGCGAGTTTGGACTTGATCCAGCACACGTCCGGGCTTTTCAATGTAACGGGCACATTGGGTTACATGGAGTGCCAGACAGCTGACAGCGAGTCATTTTCAAGTTTTCAGCTTTGCCCTTTTCTCAAGCTTCGATGGCATGCAGGGGCACGGGTGACCTAGAGAGCAGCGACCTACTGATCACATCCACGGTCACAGAGTCTGACTTGCAACATGTGTCCAAAGTGCATTTTAAGGAATGCTAAAAGAGAGGAGTTCGAAGCAGGCGCGAAGCGCCGAACATACTTCCAAGCACACGCTGACATTCGGGCCATGGCTAAGATGCGCAGCTCGGCCGTGGCGGTGGAGATCCCTATCCCGGAGCCGCCCAATCGCACCCGAGAGAGCAACGCCGCTGTTGAGCTCGGGCTTTGGGGTCGTCTGCCCGTCGAAGGTATGACCCCATCGCGATGGACTCCATGAGCCAGGAGCAGCAGCTCTGTTGCAGCCTGTGCAGACCATCTAGTATTCGAAACTGAAAGCCGCCAGCCAGAATGTCAGAGCTCGACAAAAAGTAGATCCCTTAATGGGGGTTCCTGTAAAGTACCCTTAGTAGTATAGGGCCCCAAATTAGGGGATCTACTTTCTATTTCACAGCTCTTCAGGAAAGTGTCGGCCCGAGCGATGACTGCCTTGGGCGCGCACACAAAGATTCTCGTCTTGGAGAGACTTCCTCGACCGCACAAATCGACAGCTACGGTTCCCTTCGCTTTGTGTGACCTAGATTGAATAGCTTGGCCATAGTGGACTATGCCAGCAATTTAGTTCAATTAAAGTCTGTGAAAATGTCAGCATGTTGGGCAGGTCCGGGCCACAGCACCCAGAAGCAACACCCCCGGAAAGTCTTGACTCAGATGTATTTCTCTAACTAGGAACGAAAACAGAGACACTCATTTCGTAAGTTCATGTTTTTGGAACCATCACATCTACGTTGTGAGTGGTTCCACAGCCGGTTTCGCAGTACTGTTATCCCCAACCTGACCGTCCTTTCGTTTGGCTGCCTACAAGGTTTTGACGACCGGCTTAAACCCAAATGCTTGCACCTCAATCACGTCCTGCAGACTGCCGCTTCAAGCCGCCGCAGCCGGAACAGGATAACAGGATGATGCCGGGAGGAATGACAGCTGGCAGGCGGCGAATGGTGGTTTGCAGGTTTGTGAGTTTGTGTGTTTTGTGGTTTTCAACAATTTCAGCAGACGCTCAAGAGCCGTTGCAGTCCGCCCAGGATTTTCCAGAATGTCCGCGATGTCCAGGCTCAGAACATCCGCGAGAGGCAGCTCGGACACAACTTGGCCTTTGCAGTCTTTCTTCATGGCCTTGACTTCTCAGGTGTTGTACAGACCAGTGGTTAGACGAGAATGAGCGCGAGTGGATGTGTTTGGAGACTTGACAGCACTCCTGAATCTTCAGTTTCTCAAAGCATCTCAAAGCTGACTTTCGGAACGTCATCTTGTACGACTGCGTTTGTTTTGCGGCCTCTTGCCTCTTGCCCAGGACTCCTTGATGCGCTCGCGGCCATGGGCGACAAACAGGGATAAAGCGTATCTCGTTCCGAGAGATTTATTCCTTCATTCATTCCGCTCTTGTGCGTCCTCAATCCCATCCTATAAATACTCACTCTGACTCCCTCTGATTCGCTCTTGCTTGCTATGACTCAGTCTCGCTACTCTCATTCACTTGCCTGTTGCCGTGTTCATTCAGTCCTTGCGCTTTCTAGTACGAGTCGCGCAGTCGAACGTCTCTAGGCGTGTTGATGCAAGGCAAGGGAGCGTTTGCTTGGGTGTCGACAGGCTGGGGCTCTCATGCAGTCAGGCCCGTCAGGCCATTGACCGTCACCAAGCAGACCAAGCAAGACTCTAGCTGAGCAGCTTGAGCAACCAAAGTGATTTTGGTGTGAGTGTAGCTCGGTATGACCCTGCTTCCCAAGAAGACGGTGTTCTTTACGGGACAGCTGTACGCAAGAGGGGGCGGCCAGCCCAGCGGCGCCAGAAATCCTTCATTCGTATGCACCTGCTCAGGTTGATGCCATAGATGCCTTGTTTTCGACACGGTTTCCGTGTCATATCATTGGCCTCAGGTTCCCTTATCCCTTCAGGGAAGCCACGGAGAAGATGCGAGCCTTGGAGGGTCCCTGGTCTGGAGACGACGACCCCTTCCCGCGCGAGTGGACGCGTGGCGTGGCCGGAGACAAGGCCGAGCTACTGCTGCCTCTGCTGTAAAAATATATGTATACACATATCATAATCTCGGTGTGTGTGTGTGTGTGTGTGCATACATACCAAAAAAGTATAAACATGTGTGTGAGATGCAGTCTATCGTCGCTTGTTTCTACATATTATGCTATCCTGTGGTTGCGTGGCTCAGAGGGAGCGGTCAGAATCGAGATGCAGATTTGCAGGTCCTGACCAACGTTCGTCAGGTCAAGGAATATCCGCCCGAGCTGCTCGATGGTACTTTAATGTGTATCTTTTGCCCAGCTCAGGTTTTGTGGAGAAATGTAGGTCGACTTGCTCATTAAGCCGCTCCCCTCAGTGCGAGCATTTCAAGCCTAAACGTGTGTTCAAGCCGAGTGCATGACTGGGGGATTTGCTATCTATCCTCGGTCAGTTCTATCTCTGGATGATTCGGCGTATCCCAACGGGTCCTTGAAACGGATTGAGGATCATTGAACTTGCGCAGTCAGACGAGGTTGCGCTTCATCTTGTTCACGCCCGAGTTTGGAAGCGTGAATTCCTTCGCGGCATCATCCTGGCAGCAGTTGGCTTCCAGCCACGATACGGACCAGACCAGAGAACGATGTGTAGGGGAAAGGCACTGTCACTATACTAAATGATGGGTCTTGAAGGTTTTAGCATCTTTCGTGAGGTTTCTAGATTACCAGAGACACGGGATGCTTGCAGCAGGGTGCTCTATTTATGGCTTCATGAGGGCCGAAGGCCAGAAGGTTCGGTGTTTTGGGCACCTCGGTGAGGACTTCTGGATCGTCAGCTGGCAGGGATGGGACAACTGGAGCCTTGGATTCACCTCTGATCTCCTTTGTGCTTCGAATGTTTCCGGAGGTGCAAGAAGGCTGCATAGAGGACTTGCGTTGGCTTTGTTTACCTCTCTCAAGCAGAAGGGCCGTCGTGTTTAGATGTCCTTGCCGCAGGAAAGAAGTCACAAAACACCGTGCATCCTAGGACGGAGATGATCGAGCAAGTTACTCGCAAGGTATTGTCTTTTGCAGATGGAGTTAGCAGCTTTTCTGCAGAATTAGATGCCGCATTGTGCAGCTTTGTTCGAAGCGGACCGTGACTTGCTCCCAACCCAAGGTACCGTTTGGTATGGGCACTCCATGGGTGCTATAGTGGCATACGAAGTGCTTAAACGATTCGACCAGCGATATCGGTCGTGCCTCGCCTAGCAAGAAACTGCAGTAGACGAGCAATCTGAGCGGGTTCGCTTCAGGCCGAATCTGCCAGTGGCGTTGATAGTCAGCGGCTGCCCAGCAGATGCCCTGGATGCAATCGGTAGGTTCAGGATGGAAAGCTTTCAGACAATACAGCTCCCAGAAGTGTTGCAGCGGGGTTGCGGCAGTTCGACCGTGTGCCAGACTGTCGGGAATTTATCTCTGTACCGCCAGTTTTCTTAACGGGGGCTTGATGTGCTTGATTCTTGAAGTTCGAAAGTGAGCAGGGCTAGGCCTTGCATCAGAGGCCCCGCATCTCTTTTCGGAGTCCTACCGGCCGGGAGCTCGGATTGGGGCGCACGCCGCACTGCAAGAGCCGGGTCTTGTAGAAACTGGGAGCATGGCTACTGGTTTAATGCCTTGAAAGCACTGGAGACTGGAGACTCTGCAATGATTTACATGCCAAGTCTTCCGCTCAACTCTTTGCGAGAAGGCCACACACGCCGTGACAAGCACGAGTGTTTCCATCCCCAAGGCCACAGGAGAAGCACGACTTCCTTTTGAAGCTTCGTGCTCATGGCTGGTTGTACACTTGTGGTGCTAGTGCTTGCAGTGCATGGTGCATGTGTGCACTTGCGTGTGTGTGTGTGTGTGTGCGGGTGTGTTTGTGTGTGTGTGGAGTGTATACAATGTATTGGAAGCCAGGCATACCGAACGACTTCGACATATTGACGCAGGAGAAGCTCGATCCCGAACTCCTTGCAGCGTCCACGATAGCTTCCGTTGTGTTCGGTCATCGCATCGCGCAGAGCGTCGCAATAAACCATCTGCTTTGAGGCGAGACATCCTGCTCAAAGAGTGCACACCTTAGTGCCTCAGTGGGGCTGCGTGCCAGTGCCGGGCCTTGATTCTTCTCTTTCATGTCGCTGCGGAGAGAGCAAATTCCAAGTCAGTTTTCGTGCAGATTGTTTTGGCACCACCCCGACTTCACTTTGATACGACCCTCCAGCAGCAAGAGTATCTGCAGTTGTGCCCCAAGCGCCACCATCCCGCAGCTTTGCGCTATTGACACATGGGGATTGGTGTTTCGAACTGGATAAAGCTGTCTTTTGACCTGTCGCTATTCCCCTGGCATCTTCTGACTCCCCTGTGTTGAGACTGCGTGAGAGCGAGTGTAACTCCGAGGTTTCAGGTGCGGCTCGACAATCGGCAAGATGCCCTGCAGGCGGAGGGCACAATCTCACAGCATGGTTCCGAAAGCATGAGATCATGACCCCCCGACTCACGTAGGATGTGACTTCACACGCTGGCAACACCTCCGAGCCGACAGATGCACGAAGCTGAGCAGGCGTCTGTTGTTTCCTTTCAGAGGGGTTCTGGCAGTCTATTGCCGAAAGCGATGCAACAGGGCATAGCTGGATCCCTTCAGGTGTGCATCTTTAGACCATCTCCTGCCAGAGGGCTCCTGTGAAGGCTCCAGCAAGGATCGGTTCCTTTCGGGATTTCAGGAACGCAAGAGCATTGAAGTCGAAGCTGTGAGTGAGGATGGGGGTCTTGAAGCTGCGTTCTTGCCAAGATGCGGTACGTGGCTGTATCGCCTTGTCTTGAGCAGCTCCGGCTACTCTGCCCCGGTATCAATATTTGCAGAGATCACGCTCTGTCCCTGTAAATTCCTGGAACACGGGCTCCAGGCAATCACAGGCCTGTTAGAAACCTACCCTCCAGAGACCGACTATCGCACCAAGCCTTCACCATAAAGCCGAGGTTCGAAGCGAAGCGGAGTATCGCAAGGCCTGTTAAAGGGCCTTTTTTGGGGTTTCTGACGGGGCTCAAAGTTCTAGAAGGCTGCAAGTCCGGCTCGGAAGAGACGGTGGGTTGCGGAACGTCTTTGATTTGCTTCCACCTGTCAGTGATCTCCGGGAAGCCAGGCCATCGTCACCGATTTGAAGGTCTTAATGTCTTACGCCTTCGAGCACGCAGCGGCCTGAGGAAATTCCGGAAAGAAGGTATGAACAGTGCCACAGTTCCAAAGCAACTCCGAACAGCAACTATTCCAAGACCCCAAGCCCTAAACCCTTTAAGCCTCGCCCGGATCGTTGGCAGTGGCTGCTTGCAGAAACCCTAAACCCGTGAGCCCGTGAACGAACTAACTAACTAACTAACTACCTAGCTAGCTAGCTAGCTAGCTAACTAACTAACTAACTAACTAACTAACTAACTAACTAAAAAAACTAACTAACTAACTAACTAACTAACTAACTAACTAACTAACTAACTAACCAACCAACCAACCAACCAACGAACTAACTAACTAACTAACTAACTAACTAACTAACTAACTAACTAACTAACTAACTCTCTCTCTATATATATATATATATGTATATTGTATGTATATGTGTATATATATATATATCTCTCTCTCTCTCTGTCTGCCGTTTCTTTCTGCTTCCAAGGGCGAGGCCAAGGCCGTGAGCGTCCCGGCGTGGGGCCCTGGCCCGGAAAGCTTTGCTTTAGGACTTTGTCTGGTTCCGGTTTATGTGAAGTATATATATATATATATATATATATATATATTATATACAATAGGCTGACCGCGTTGCTGCACGCATCTGCAAGCTATCTAGTCTGTCGCTTTGATTCGTGGGATGTTTCTCATGCTGCACCGGAAGCACGTGTCTGTGGCGCGCAACTCGAAGAGGGGAATCCTCACCAAGACATTCTGTGAGCGCTTCCATATGCGTTGCCATGGCCAAAGGTGAAACCAGGCCACAACAAGTGTGTATAAGCCGGGCAAGATCCAGAAGGTGCAAACACCGGGAACTGAAGTAAGATCAGAAACCCACTCCGCCTGAGCTTTCTGTCAAGACGAAAGGAGGGGTGTAGCTTCAAGGCGGCCAGGCAGGAGATTTCCCAAGGTCTGCCACTGTAGGTTTCTGGACCTGGCAAGTTAAAGCGATTGCGCTAAACATCTGAGGTCATAGCCATGGCCCACGACGAGGATAGCCTCGTCGAGCCGCAGATGGTGCAGGCCCGGCATGGACACTGAGAGGGCGACTCCTGAAGCAAAGACAAGCTGAAGGGTACTCGGGTACTCATAGCAGGGAGACTGCTTCGCCTCTTCGTGCCAGGCCTGGGAAGCTTACGCCCCGAAGCCCGACAGCTTCGAATTTCTAGCGCTGGAGGACCGCATCAAGAACACCTGGGCAACTTGCGAATGCTGGAAGTAGAGCTGGTCTTGCGCCCACGCGACTCTTCAACTGCTTGTTCTCGACAGATAAGAGGACGAGGTCTCGGTTACAGACGTCAGACCACATATCCAAAGCTGCACCGTGGAGTGCCACAAAATCAATGCCTTAGCGGTCCATTAGGGAAGCGTCTGCAGGATGTAGCCGATGGCGAAGTGCTGGTGGAGCAAGGGCATGGTTATGCCATGCGCCGGCTTCCCGGATTTCGTGGATGGAAGGGGATAATCGGGTCAGAAGAGAAAGCAAAGACAACGAGCAAGACGGACAAAAAGACGCATCCGGGCTCAGATAGATGCCGTGGGCATACACGGAGCCAAAACAGTTTCCGGCTTGTATACCTCGACGGCAGCCAAGTGGAGATTGAGACTGTGCTCCCTTCCTTGTCACACCATGGCAGACGCATCTGTTTCGGATGCCGTGGACCTCCACGGGAGCTGTAGAGCAGTTTCCGAGATTTAATACCTCGAAGGGCCCGGGCCCAGGGTAATCAGGCCGCAGCAAAATGAGGGTTGAGAACGCGCTCCCTTCCTTGTCACACCATGGCAGACGCACCTGTTTCGGATGCCGTGGACCTCCACGGGAGCTATAGAGGGTTGAGAACGCGCTCCCTTCCTTGTCACACCATGGCAGACGCATCTGTTTCGGATGCCGTGGACCTCCACGGGAGCTATAGAGCAGTTTCCGGGATTTAATACCTCGAAGGCGCTGCTCTCGTAGCCTCTTGAGGCGCTATGCCCGGGCCCAGGGTAATCAGGCCGCAGCAAAATGAGGGTTGAGAACGCGCTCCCTTCCTTGTCACACCATGGCAGACGCACCTGTTTCGGATGCCGTGGACCTCCACGGGAGCTATAGAGCAGTTTCCGAGATTTAATACCTCGAAGGCGCTGCTCTCGTAGCCTCTTGAGGCGCTATGCCCGGGCCCAGGGTAATCAGGCCGCAGCAAAATGAGGGTTGAGAACGCGCTCCCTTCCTTGTCACACCATGGCAGACGCATCTGTTTCGGATGCCGTGGACCTCCACGGGAGCTATAGAGCAGTTTCCGGGATTTAATACCTCGAAGGCGCTGCTCTCGTAGCCTCTTGAGGCGCTATGCTCGGGCCCAGGGTAATCAGGCCGCAGCAAAATGAGGGTTGAGAACGCGCTCCCTTCCTTGTCACACCATGGCAGACGCACCTGTTTCGGATGCCGTGGACCTCCACGGGAGCTATAGAGCAGTTTCCGGGATTTAATACCTCGAAGGCGCTGCTCTCGTAGCCTCTTGAGGCGCTATGCTCGGGCCCAGGGTAATCAGGCCGCAGCAAAATGAGGGTTGAGAACGCGCTCCCTTCCTTGTCACACCATGGCAGACGCACCTGTTTCGGATGCCGTGGACCTCCACGGGAGCTATAGAGCAGTTTCCGAGATTTAATACCTCGAAGGCGCTGCTCTCGTAGCCTCTTGAGGCGCTATGCTCGGGCCCAGGGTAATCAGGCCGCAGCAAAATGAGGGTTGAGAACGCGCTCCCTTCCTTGTCACACCATGGCAGACGCATCTGTTTCGGATGCCGTGGGCCTCCACGGGAGCTATAGAGCAGTTTCCGAGTTTTAATACCTCGAAGGGCCCGGGCCCAGGGTAATCAGGCCGCAGCAAAACGAGGGTTGAGAACGCGCTCCCTTCCTTGTCACACCATGGCAGACGCACCTGTTTCGGATGCCGTGGACCTCCACGGGAGCTATAGAGCATTTTCCGGGATTTAATACCTCGAAGGCGCTGCTCTCGTAGCCTCTTGAGGCGCTATGCCCGGGCCCAGGGTAATCAGGCCGCAGCAAAATGAGGGTTGAGAACGCGCTCCCTTCCTTGTCACACCATGGCAGACGCATCTGTTTCGGGTGCCGTGGACCTCCACGGGAGCTATAGAGCATTTTCCGGGATTTAATACCTCGAAGGCGCTGCTCTCGTAGCCTCTTGAGGCGCTATGCCCGGGCCCAGGGTAATCAAGCCGCAGCAAAATCAGGGTTGAGAACGCGCTCCCTTCCTTGTCACACCATGGCAGACGCATCTGTTTCGGATGCCGTGGACCTCCACGGGAGCTATAGAGCAGTTTCCGGGATTTAATACCTCGAAGGCGCTGCTGTCGTAGCCTCTTGAGGCGCTATGCCCGGGCCCAGGGTAATCAGGCCGCTTCAAAATGAGGGTTGAGAACGCGCTCCCTTCCTTGCCACTCGTAGCCTCTTGAGGCGCTATGCCCGGGCCCAGGGTAATCAGGCCGCAGCAAAATGAGGGTTGAGAACGCGCTCCCTTCCTTGTCACACCATGGCAGACGCATCTGTTTCGGATGCCGTGGACCTCCACGGGAGCTATAGAGCAGTTTCCGGGATTTAATACCTCGAAGGCGCTGCTCTTGTAGCCTCTTGAGGCGCTATGCCCGGGCCCAGGGTAATCAGGCCGCAGCAAAATGAGGGTTGAGAACGCGCTCCCTTCCTTGTCACACCATGGCAGACGCATCTGTTTCGGATGCCGTGGACCTCCACGGGAGCTATAGAGCAGTTTCCGGGATTTAATACCTCGAAGGCGCTGCTCTCGTAGCCTCTTGAGGCGCTATGCCCGGGCCCAGGGTAATCAAGCCGCAGCAAAATCAGGGTTGAGAACGCGCTCCCTTCCTTGTCACACCATGGCAGACGCATCTGTTTCGGATGCCGTGGACCTCCACGGGAGCTATAGAGCAGTTTCCGGGATTTAATACCTCGAAGGCGCTGCTCTGGTAGCCTCTTGAGGCGCTATGCCCGGGCCCATGCAGCCAGGACCAACTTGATTACGTAGGAGGTGTTGCCTGAGACAGCGCTGAACCGTTTTGTTGTGCCTTCTGACATGCCAGGGTTCCGAGAGTCCAGCAGTCGAATTGCTCCAAGGGCCCGTCCCGGAACTGATCCAAAAGATCTACGAGTCCATGCTCAAGCACCAAATCTCGAAGGAGAGCTTCGGCAGTACAAGCCTTCCATGCGCACTGCTGAAGGTTAGGTAGCGGTAGTGCCGGCAGGATCTTGCTGCAATCCTTCCGGACATCGGGCCCACTGATGGCGAAATCCCGGCAAAGGCACGTGCGTCGGCCTGCGCATGACTGTCGTCGTCCGATCAGGTGATCCTTCGTGTCCAACAGTCGTAGCTTCCTTAAAGGCTAGGGGATGGCAAAACTGCGAACCCGGGACAAAACTCATCAGAATGTGGCCAATGGCTTTACCAGCTTGGGCGCCTCTGTTCTGACGCTGAGACCGATTGCGTTATCGTTGGAGCCGGAATTGCCGGCGTCACCACGGCCCGAGCGATGGCGGAAGCCGGGAGGCACTCTGGGCGGGGTTGGTTTAGCGCAGAAGGCCTTGATGTTGAGTGAGGAGTTCCGCTTGGCACTCTGAGGGTTCGTGGCGCCTGGTGAGTGCTTCTGCCCAGCACACCTTGCGTACTTTGTTTCAGATGAAGCCGCTTTAGCCACTCGGCTTCAGGGACCTGCTGGTCTTCGACAAGTACGATGCCATCGGAGGGTGCGCCCTTGCAACTGGCATGCTTCAAGCACATCTATCGTTTGCAGACACCAGGCAATCGAAACCTGTCGCCAGGATTTGGACGTACTATGCCAACATCTTCTCGCGAGTGAACACTTCGGAGGTCGGTTACCGCTCCCTGGCAGCACGAGGCAGTGCTAGCTCAGCTTAAGGCCCTTTGAAACCCCTGAGGCATGGTGAACCAACAAGGCCCCGGCTCTCGTCCCAACGAGGACGCCGGTCGGGCCTATAGATGTTTCTACTATATACAGTTGCAATGTCCTATAGTATGCTAGTAATATATATTCCATAATATACGACGATAGCCATGGATTTGCAGACAACCGTGATGGATGAGAGTCTGAGTGTCGTGATGTCGCCGCGGTTGGGCGAGGCAAATATTTGCCATGAAGCTTCCCCAGCATATGCCGCCTTCGCAAGCGTGAACTACGCAACACCTACCACTCACTTCCAAGAGGAGGCGAAGGCGACCCCAGTCCCAAGTTCAGGTGCAGCGACTTTGTGGCTTCAGGGGAGGCTCTCCCTGCCCGGTACCCGACAGCAGCCCCAAGAACTGTTCCCTGGTCACTCTCTCAGTTCTCACTCACAAGACTTTGAACAGCCGGTTGAATTTGCTCTCATGCGGTGGCACAGGGAGAGCATGTTCGACCATATGTCCGCAGCAAATCGGACTTCCTTCAATTTTGAAGCTTCTTCGTCTAACATTGCGCTTGGTTGTGGGAGCAACGCGTGTTAGACTTGTGAAAACGGATGGGACGCCATGTTGAAAGGTAGGTTTTTTGGATAACATTCACAGCAGCCGTTGACCACAAGAGGAATTTTCGCATCGGTCGCTGTGCATCAACAGACGTGTTACTTTCACACATTCCTTTTTACATGAAGCCTTCCAAGTAACAGCGGGTAACGGGGTAGTAACAGCAAATAGCTGTTACTGCATTGTACGCGCTGTTACTGTCTTCCTCCTTTGCGCTGTCACTGCGCGCTCTCCCGGCATGAATGCCTCGGGTCCACGAACTAACTTCTTTCAGGACCATTCGCCCACGCACGATATCCTCCGCGATTTGTACACAGCCAGGAGCCCAGAAGGAGTACCGCCAGAGTCTACACGTATCAATTGCAATCTGTGCCGACCACTGCCCAGTGTGATCACGAGGAACCTGCATCAGTAAATGCGACATAGACAGGCTCTTTATCCTGTGTTCTGCTGACTCCCTCCCGCCTTTCGTATCATGCTTTCCCCTTTCATTGGCATTATTTCGCTACCGCTCAGGTCGCGGCACAATTTTCAAAGGGCAGATTCCGCTGCGGAGTCGAGATACTCAAGGCTTCCGGAGAGTCAGGGGTTCAGGGCGTTCTTAGAATTTGGGGTTTAGGTTTTGGGGTTTATAGGGTTTAGGGTTTTTGGGCTTTTCGGGTTTTCGGGCTCAGGGTGCTGATGCTGGATCTTGTGGTGTGAGTTACTGTCACTTTAACGCCTCTGGCCTTGACTTTGCAAAGGATTCGAAAAGCGTTGAGCGGCCAGTGTGAGTGTTTGCGCTTGCATGTTTGTATGTGTGTGATTGTGTGAGGTCAAGCAGCAGCAGGACGAAGAGCTTTGTAGCCGTTGGCCGAGACAGTGTCTGACTCTGCAATGTCCGACTCTTTCTAATAAGTAGTACTCGAAAAACACTAATTACTAAGAAACAGAATCATCGTAATATCAAAGAAGCAGCCGGCGAAACAACGAGAGATCAGCTTCCTGAGTCCGGAGTCCGGAGGACAAGAGCTACATCGTCACGTGGAAGAGGTTAAAGACCGGTGAGACGGGGAAGGCTCTGGTTGTCGAAGAAGCGCTCGAGAAGCTTCTTTTTCTGGGTTTTTCTTTTGTCTGAGCTTGGTTTGGCCCGTTGCCTGCTTCCACTAGTCGGTCTCAGAATCTGGTACTGTTGTCGCAGATACATGCCAAGAGCGTCTGCTTCCACACGAACCGGCGGATAGGCAAAAGTCGCTGCCTGAGAATGTCCTGCGTGCTGTTGTTGATGATCTTTGTGTTTTGTAGTATGTGCAGGGCTTGCGGACACGAAGTGTGCATGCAATTTATGGGAACAGTTGTGGGGATGAGCGTCCTCCGATCCCATGACCCAGCGACTCTCTTTCTCTCTCGCCCCGATCCCATCAGCCAGGAAGAGATGTGGACTGGCCAGGGAAGGAGAAATTCCGAGGTGAGTGTGACTTGGCTGCATCGTCTCCGATTCAGAGCAATGCAGTTGAGGCAGCAGGGATGCAGCTGCGAGCCAGCACCCCTCAAACAGAAGAACAGACATTTACAGATATGTTTCATGGGAAAACGAGGTGTGTATGGCTACGCCAACGAGGTGCGTGAGGGTTCAAGGGAGTCTTGCCGACAAGCTTCCCCAAAGAGTCGATTCTATTGTTCCTTTTCTGGAGCGTCACCTTCAGCTGCCGAAAACAATCCCTGCTTTGATGCCAGAGAAGAGACAGGGACCAGCTCCTGTACCCATCACATTCAACGGGGTCGGGCGCGAACGATGGCAGTGCAGGTGACTCCCCTGAAGTTCTGGGGCAAGACAGCCGGGGACAAAGTGCTCTGACCGTCTAACCTCGAAGAAAGTCCTCGAGACTTCTATAGTAGTAGTTGAAGGAGGCATTCAGTGGCAGTGAAGGGCCGCACAAAGTCAACGGGCTGCCTCAGGTCATGGTTATTGGCGCGGGAGCCTTCGCGTGCGCCAGCAGAAAGAGTCCCGCCAATGAGCGCAGCTACGTTGTCGTGCCCATATCCTGCGACAACTTAGTCTTAGTTCTTTCACTTCAGACACCATTCTGCTCGGACGGAGCCTTCAGCCAAGCTTTGAGACGGATCTTACTGGAAAATATGAGCACGCTTTGGACACAACATGTCCACAGGCACTGAGAGCAAGCTCAGAAATCGCTTCTGAAAACAGCAGCATCCCGATGATACCTTCCCTCCCCTCCTGCGAGCTCTTTTCAGAAGACTTTTCGGAAGCCCAGCCAAACATTGAAGAGACAGAGAGAAAGCAGCTGCACTGTGGCCGGGAGATTGCACCGCGACCTGAGCAAATTCCACGCATTTCTTCGCATGTTCCCCACAGGTACGAGAACCTGCGCACTGCATTGGAACACGGCGCGAAGCACGCCTGATGCCGAGAGCCATGAGTGCCTGTGAGGTTTATTGAGCTCCGGGTCTGCGCAGAGGCTTCTTGTGCAGTTTAGAGGGACTTTGAGAGTTTTGCGAGAGTCTTTCCCCAACTGTTCAACTGGCTTTCGCGACCCTGACCTGAGACCTCGAAGGACTGTTCAAAAGTTCTCGGCGATCAGGTCACGATGCTTGGGCGGCGGTCTGGCACGACATGCCCGAAGTGGTTTTGCAGACTCGTCTTGGGTGTTAAGCGGCGGGGAAGCTTCGGAATTTTGCTGCACATGTCTGCACGGTCTACATCCCCAGCTGCCAGGATCGACGTCATTGCCTTTCTGCGGCCCTGTGATCAGCAGCTTGGTTTGAAGGCTGCAGAGACCTCGGGGCCCAGGAGCCTGTATAAAGCGGAGGAGCTAACAGGCTCCGGGAGGCACGATCAGATGTTGTGAATTCAAGCTTAATCCCTCCCGAGAGGTATTACAACACGGACAGGAACGGCAACGTCATCAGCTTCGATGCGTGGAAGCAGTGCTATGTGGACCGCCATGCGATATGATTTGCACGGTCCGGCTCCTCCCACATGCTGAAAGCCTTGAACCGATTCCAAGGGCACCCGGCTCAATCAATAAGACTCCAAAGCCAGCCGAACAAACGGATCTCCAGGACGCCGGGCTACCTCAGCCGGAATGCCGGGAACCTTGTGCTGATGGGAGACCAGGGGTTGACTTGTCGAGAAGAGGGTGAACCGCTTGGTCTCGACGTGTTATGACTTGACTGTCCGGATTCTCTGAATCTGAGGTTGGGCCGAGGGCCTGCTGAAGCCTCACAACCACACCGTCTCAGTGCCCCCGGCGACTTGCCATACGGCCGGAGAATGTCACAGGCTGTTGCGGTACCGCTTTATCAATACACCTCTTTGGCGGAAACCTGCCAGGTCTCTGACCTTGCTTTCATTGCTGGCTACCACGGACTGGCCACCTTGAAGCCACTCTGGTCTTTTGCCTTTGGGTGTCATGTTATCGTATATATTCTATTCTATCAAATACTGTTATTATTATTAATATTATTATTATTCTTATTATGATTATTATTCTTATTATTATTATAGAAAAATAATATGTGAAGCTTCCCAGTGCAGGGTCGGCGAGATCGCCGCTTATCGGCCCGACGGCCATGGCGTGGTGCTGAAGGCCCCGCCGAGCCCAAGCGCCCGAAGTGCTTCCTCGATGGGTCCCCAGACACCCAAAGCCTGGAAGGGATTCCGCGCGCTGAGGATTCAAGAGGTTTCGCGATGGTGTTTTTGGGCGTGATGTTGGCAGCACTCTGCCGCGTGCAATTGAAGCCTTGCAGTTGCGACATTTCGGTGTGCATCCTGCGCGGGTCGTCGCATTCCACCACAGTCCCGGTGTTTATCCTCGTGAGGTAGGGGCAAGTCTCGAGCTTTCTGGTTTTGAACTTTTCAGAGATGCCAGATTTTGAGACTCTAGACCCCTTATCCCTAAGACTGACGGGCTTCTGCAAACCCCAAGCCTGCAAGCAGGGCAAGCCGTCAAGCTGGAAAGAGCGCCGGAGGCTCTCTCTAGGAGCCTGGCCTTGTAGGACGGTTCCAAAGTGGACTGTGACATCATCATCAAGGCCTGGCTCTGCAGTGTGATGTTATGTTCAAAATATGATCTAATGTGCAAAAATGTAATACTGTGCCATATAATCTTATACGATATAGGACAATATAGTATGACATCCTTTAATGTAAAACATCTGAGTCAAGCCATTATGATATGACATGTAATAATATGGTAGAGTATAATATATCATGCGGCAGCTGCCCAAGGGATCCAAAGAATTGATAGCAAAGTCAGCTATCAAGGGCAATCTAGCATTGAGCAAAGACACGGCGTGATATTACGGTCGTGGGAGACTTTCGTTCAGAGTGAGTTTCGACCTACATCTTGAGATCAAGCGCCTGCCCTGGGCGCTGCACTTGAATCTGATGTGGCCTCCTCTCGGATCCTAGAGCCCTTTGTGCGAAGCAGTTCAAGACAGCTCTTCATCGACCCTGAAACCACAGCGTTCCTTTGCAAGGCCACCGGCTTCCATCTCAACGACGAGGTGGGCCTCAGGGAAGATTTCCTTCCCTCTCTTGATGAGGTATTCAGAGAGGCACCTCAAGCGCGCTCCGTGGTGTCTTGGAAGGTGCCGCAGATCTCTGGCAGACGGAACATCCACTCGTTCAACCTCTTGGACCTGAACATGATGTGAGCCATTGCTTTCGGCACATCATCGTTAGGCTACGGACTCGTATGTGAAGCCTGCCAGTCTTTAGCAAGTACTCCCCAGATTGCATCGGCGAGACCTTGTCCTGCTGGTCGTTGCGGATCGGTCGTAACGATCGCAGCGCAGCGAGGTACGGCGCCGAGCCCCTCCTTGACGGCGCCCAGTTCGGCAGCGCCCGTGGGAGGGTGGCAGAGGACGAGCAGGTCGATTACGAGGCCTTCCCGAAGTTTCGGTACGGCTCCCTGGGCCTTTTCAAGTACTGAATCCTTCAGAGAACCAACAATGCCTAAGCGAACCAGACTTAACCTTTGGCCCAGTTCCAAGCTCAGTGTTGTGTGCATCCCCGATCAGTGCAGTCTGTCTTTAAAGAGTCGTGAAAGCACCTCTTGGCATGCTAGGCCATCCAAGTTATCAAAGACAGTGGCTCAAGAAAGAGTGCACAGCTGTGTGTCTGGCGTGGCGTTCCTCTGCGCTGTGCTGCAACTTGCAGGCGTTGGTGGCAGGGTGGATGCAGATGCAGAAGATGGGCATCCCCGAAGCCTATCAGCGCCAGGGGCCAAGACGTTGCACAACCTTTTTGACTTTCCCTTGGATTCCGAGAAGATTTCGCAAACTCGTTGCTCGATCGTTCATTAGGAAACAATCCCTTTGGTTCCGGCTACGCCGGCCCCATGTACGTGGCGGCTTGGTTCTTCAAGTGGTGCCTTGCTCAGCCCTGAAAGTGAGATGCCCGCTGCAAGGGGGCTAACTCTCAAGCTGTTGCCCTCGCAAGGCTCCAGCTGAACCCGGACTACCAAGAGGAGTCGAGCACTCTTCCTGGTTCTGGCGTGCTTCTGCGAGTTCTCCCTTAGGACCTTCTGAAGGCTTCTGGTGAACCGCAGCAAGATGCGGTTCTTCACTCAGCCGTTTTGTTCAGACTTTTGATTCGACGGGCCGGATGCCGTGTCGCATGTCACTCTCAGGTTAAGATGTGGGCAAGCAGCATCGGGACCAACATGGGCAATACCATCAAGCGGCTGCAGGCCATGAACGGAACATTTCCGGAAAAAGGATGCCGATTAGAAGAACAGCGCATAAGTTCCGTGTCGCACGGGGAACGTCTGTGTATTTGTCTTGCCGCATAATGTCTGTTCCCTTTCCGCTGAAGGTGTCGTGACATCTCGTCCTTAAACGCGCAGAGAATCTCAATATTTGGATCGGCAAGGCTTCCAAGGAATCTTGAGCTTAAAATGGTACAGTTTGCAAGACCTAGCAATCTAGCAGCTATCTGAACCTAGCTTGAAATGGATGTTGTTTCCAGTTGCGCCTGGTTCCCTGCAGGCACGGCTTGGTGTGGTCAGCGAGCCAGAGCCTCGTACAGGAACCTGTGCAACGGACCCATCTTCCCCCCTTCTCCCTCGAGGTCGCAGCTGACCTTCGCACCCAGTGCCGACCGAAAGCTCTACGGCGAGTAGACTCTAGCAGGGGCATGCCGCACATTGGCATGCCCAAGATGTTCCCACAACTGCTCGAAGACAAATATGACGGAGCTTACTAGCTATTAGGAACTCGAAACTGGAACCTATGTGCTTGTGACACAGGAACAAGGAATGCACATACATACAATACAAGATCGTCGAACGTGCGCGTCCCTGCCTGTAAAGGCGACGCTACGGACGATCGACAAAATACGACACTGACATACCGTCAGCCGTCAGTGTACCGCTCTACACCTGCGGGCCAACTCACAAGGCGCAGACGACAGGTATGAGATGGCACCGACACGAAAGCTGTGCACAGGCAAGTACAAGGCGATCTGCGTGCATCCAGGCTAAAGAGGTCGAACTCACGGCTCCACAAATAAATCAGCGCAGACCACCCACAAGGACGAAATGATAATATGACTCTTACTTGACATTCCATAAAGATTAGACTTGAAATATGATCTGATGAATTTGGAATATTCTTAGACTCTTCTTATAATATCAAATCGATGAATTGAATCACCACAAATCACAACATTTAAATCAGGGTCGCTTTCTCTATAAATATCGCAAATTTTTATTCATGGTAAATTACACGTTACTTTATCTCGTATGCGATCGAACATTCTAGGACTATATATTCTCTAATAAACCGGTGTCATGCCGCTTGCGTGCATGATTTTGTGCGCACCCTGGTCCCCCTGGAATACGGTCGTTTGCGGCATCTCTTCGTGAAAGCTCTTATATGTCTGTCTCGAGCTACTAAAATCCTGGAAATTTTA